TGCTGGAGCTCTGTGGATCTGCTTGGCAGGCGGTTCCGCGTTCCCTCGCAGCACCAAATGTTGTGGTGCCAGCTGCCTTGGTGCTGTTCTGTGGAGGCCCAGGAGAACAATTTTTTTCCATCCTCCTTGTAACACCCTGTGACAGGGCGCCTGCCCTGCACTGGCCCTTTAAGACCAGGACTCAGGCCCTGAGCTGGGGCTAGAACCGAAGAGGCCAGCTGAAGCTGTTTGGGCTAGGGAGAGCCCAGCTGGCAACTATCTAGGACAGCACAATTGGCTTGTAGAAGCCAGCTGTAATCATTAGGGCGAGTGTGAGCCCAGCTGGCAGGTGTTTATAGAGAAGCACAGGTTGCTTAGAGGGGGGAGCCAGTGGAGGGCTGATTGCAGAGGAAGCAGGAGCTCCTTGGAGGGAGACAAGCTGGGGATAGCCAGCAAAGGCTGGAAGCGGGCCAGCCAAGACTCCCCTTGGCTAGAGGCTGGTGGCAAAGCCTCTGGTTTGAGGGCCCATCATGAGGCCGACTAGGTAAGCAGCGCCATTGTGACAAATGCCAATGATGAGCAACCCATAGAGACTGTAACTTGCCCTGAGAGGACAGTCAGGGGGCACTGAGGCACAGTGGGGGGCTTGTGCCCCTGACACACCCCTTTAGATAATTAAAAACTGCTATATTGAAAACTCCTATCATGTCCCCTCTTAGGCTTCCCTTTTCCAAACTAAACAAACCCAATTATTTCAGTCTTCCTTCATAGCTCATGTTTTCTGAATCTTTAATCATTTTATTGCTCTTCTCATTTCTCCAATTTCTACTATTCTTGCTTGAAATGTGGTACTCAGAACTGGGCACAATACTCCAATTGAGGCCTATTCAGCACAGAGTAGAGCGGAAGAATGACTTCTCTTGTCTTGCTCACAACACTCCTGTTAATACATCCTAGAATCATGTTTGCTTTTATTGTAACAGTGTCACACTGGTGACTTATATTTAGCTTGTGGTCCACTATGACCCCCTAGATCTCTTTCTGTAGTACTCCTTCCTAGATAGTCCCTGACCATTCTGTAGCATTCTGCAGCAGAGGAGGTTTAGGCTGGACATCAGGAAAGGCTTTCTGCCTGTCAGGGTGGTTAAACACTGGAATAAATTGTTTAGGGGGGTTGTGGAATCTCCATCACTGGAGATATTTAAGAGCAGGTTAGATAGACACATGTCAGGGACGATCTAGACAGTGCTTGGTCCTGCCATGAGGACAGGGGACTGGACTTGATGACTTCTTAAGGTCCCTTCCAGTTCTAAAGTTCTATGATTCTATGATCTGCAAACTTAATAACTGTACTCTCTATGCCATCGTCTAAATTAGTATTTCCCAATCTTATTTGGCCATGGAACCCTTTTAAACTCAAAAGAATTTTGAGGAACAAGGAAGCCAGGGAAGAAAGTGTTGAGCAAAAAAAAAAAGGGGGGGGGGGGGGAAGAGGCCAGGGGCCAAAATGCGGTCACGGGCTTCCGGATCAAGTGGGCTTCTGGATCAAAGCGCCACAACACCCCAGGAAGACAGCCACTGATTGTGCACCACAGCCCTAGTAACAGTCTGGTAGATGAAGCTGAAAAAGTAAAAAGTAGACCACGAATAAGTAGGATAATAATGCCAGGAGAGAGGGTAGAAGAGGAGTCTTGGGTGTATGGCCAGGAAGGAGGGTACAGGAGGTATCTTGGGGCAGGGTGTCTGGTCAGGAGGGAGTGTACAGGAGAGGTTTTGGGGCAGGGTGTCAGAGCACACTGGGAATACGGGTTCTTGGTGGGGGGAGGGGAGTGAGGGGTACTTGGGTGCAGGGTCTGGGCATGAGGGTGATGCTTACCTGGCCTGGCATCCTGCTGCAGCAGTGAAAGCCTCCAGGCAGCACACTCTTGTTCCTTGGGGGGGGGGCGGAGCTCAGGGGGGAGGGGACAGCAGAGCCCAAGCCAAGTTCTGTGTAGGTGGCAGTTTAAAAACGCCGAGATCCGAGCACAGCTACTTGGGGCCTCAGACCCAGCCACCCCTTCCCATCCCAGCAGCAGCAGCCACTGTAAAAGCTGCCACCTGCACACGTGGAGGAGGAGGAGGCTGAGTGGCACCAGAGCCGCTGTGCAACAGGGGCAATCCTGCGGGGTGGAGAGAGGGCTGCGCCGTGCGCGATGGTGGGGCAACTGCAGTGGGTGGTGGAGCAGCCAGAGCCACGTGCTGCCAGAAGCCCGCCCCCTCCAGCAAAGCTCCAATGGGAGCTGCCTACTGGCTCTGAAGAGGGCGGGGGAGTAGAATTTTTTCAAGGATCCCTTAGATTCACTTTGTAGAACCCCGGAGTTCCGCAGAGCACCATTTGGGAAACACTGCTCTAAATCATTGATGAAGATATTGAACAGTACCAGTCCCAAAACAGACCCCGGTGGAGTCGGGGGGAGGGGACAGCAGAGCCCAAGCCAAGTTCTGTGTAGGTGGCAGTTTAAAAACGCCGAGATCCGAGCACAGCTACTTGGGGCCTCAGACCCAGCCACCCCTTCCCATCCCAGCAGCAGCAGCCACTGTAAAAGCTGCCACCTGCACACGTGGAGGAGGAGGAGGCTGAGTGGCACCAGAGCCGCTGTGCAACAGGGGCAATCCTGCGGGGTGGAGAGAGGGCTGCGCCGTGCGCGATGGTGGGGCAACTGCAGTGGGTGGTGGAGCAGCCAGAGCCACGTGCTGCCAGAAGCCCGCCCCCTCCAGCAAAGCTCCAATGGGAGCTGCCTACTGGCTCTGAAGAGGGCGGGGGAGTAGAATTTTTTCAAGGATCCCTTAGATTCACTTTGTAGAACCCCGGAGTTCCGCAGAGCACCATTTGGGAAACACTGCTCTAAATCATTGATGAAGATATTGAACAGTACCAGTCCCAAAACAGACCCCGGTGGAGTCCCACTTGTTATGCCCTACAAGCATGATTGTGAACCATGAATAACTACTTTCTGAGAATGTTATCTAGCTAGTTATGCACCCACCCTATAGTAGCTGCACCTAGGTTGTATTTCCCTAGTTTATTCATAAGAAGGTCATGCAAGGCCCTATCAAATGCTTTACTAAAGTTTAGGTATACCACGTCTACCACTTCTCCCTTAACCATAAGACTTGTTATCCTATCAAAGAAAACTATCAGATTGGTTTGACATGATTTGTTCATTACAAATGCATGTTGGCTGTTACCTATCATCTTATTAATTTCCAGCTTCCATGACTTTTCAAAGATGATAGCTAAAGGCTCAGATATCACCTCTTTCAGCTTCTTGAATATTCTAAGATGCATTTCATCAGGCCCTTGTGACTTGAAGACATCTAACTTTTCTAAGCAATTTATAATTTGTTCTTTTTAATTTTAACTTCTAAACCTACCCCATTTCCACAAGCATTCACTATGTTAATCTTCTTGACATAAACTGAAACAAAGAAGTCGTTAAGCATATCTGCCATTTCCAAGTTTCCTGTTATTGTTTCTCCCTCTTCACTGAGCAATGGGCCTACCCTGTCCTTGGGCTTTCTTTTGCTTCTATATATTTGTAGAATGTCTTCTTGTTATCCTTTATGTCTCTAGCTAGATTTAGTCATTGTGGTTAGTTCTCGGAAAACATCAGCTCAATAAGCCATAGCAGTCAGAAAAGCAAATAGAATGATAGGAATCACTAAAAAGGGGATTGAGAATAAGACAGAGAACATCTTATTGCCTCTATATAAATCCCTGGTACACCCACATCCTGAATACTGCATGTAGATATGTTTGCCTCATCTCAAGAAAGATATCTTGGTACTGGAAAAAGTTCAAAATAGGGCAACAAAAATGATTAGGGATTTAGAACGATTGCCATACGAGGAGAGAGTAATAAAATTGGGACTTTTCATTTACGGGGAAAAAAAGGGGACTAAGGGGGGGGATATAATAGAAGTCTCTAAAATCATGGCCAGTGTGAAGAAAGTAAATAAGAAGTTATTTATTTGCTCCCATAACACAAGAACTAGAGGGTTACCAAATAAAATTTGTTTTAAATCTGCTGTTTATTAAAGGAAGTTTTTCTTCACACAATGCAGTCAACCTGTGGAACTCCTTGCCAGAGGATGTTGTGAAGACCAGAACTTAAACAAGGTTCAAAAAAGAACCAGTTAAATTCATGGAGAATAGGTCCATCAATAGCTATTAGCCAGGATGGGTAGGAGTGGTATCTCTAGCCTCTGTTTGTCAGAAGCTGGGAATGGGTAACAAGGGAAGGATTACTTGATGATTACCTGTTCTACTTGTTCTGTTCACCCCCTCCGGGGCATATGGCATTGGCTACTGTCAGAAGACAGTATACTGGGCTAGATGGACCTTTGGTCTGATCCAGTATGGCTGTTCTTATGTTCTTATTCTTTGTTCCTACATGTATACATTGACCTTTACCTGTAGTAAAATGCATATCTTTTGTTTGTGCTCAACTTGCCAAGTGGATCACTCTCAGAATCAGAGACTTGTTTTCCTCATTATTTATCACTCACCCAGACTAGGAATGGTTGCTTTATCTCAGTGGAGCTGGGAATCCCCCTTTCCAACAATGTAAATAATTTGTTTCTAGCATCTGTGTTGTTCAGCATTATTTCAGATAATTTTTAGAGTTTTCTGAAATGTATTAGTATTTTTTCTCTCCATTTAAGGCATGAAGAGTTAAACCTTGTTTGAGGTGTACAAAAACAGTAACTTTTTTAAAACAAAAAAGCACTGTAAGCATTTCTAATATCATATTGGGAAATGTGATGGTATAGTATATGTTATCAAAGTCTTAGTGATTATTGGTACTTGTTTTGAAGGTATTGAAAATCCATGCTAATCCCGTACTCCTGCCAGGAAGTCCTCTCTTATCCCACACCATACTGAAATACCACCAAAAGCAGACATGTTAAGATAGATGTAACTGTCCATTATAGGAGACATTCAAAGACAGAGGTTAGTAAAAACAGAGATGGTTCTTTACTTGGTTTCATAGTTCCAGATGCGGACAGATCTGTCTAGGGAACAGGTAGCAACGAGGGGTTTACGGATACAGGTGTCCAGTCCAGTGATGGCAGCAGAATGTAATGGGAAGTTCAGATATTCAAAGTGAGCTGGTTCCGCCTAGAGAAGTATCACAAATCATTAAACGGTCAGAAAAAAATATATTGGCTTAGACAATAAGAAAAGGACAACAATAAACCTCAGTGCATGGAATTGGGGAGAGGTATCTTATGCGGTTCTAGACTAAAAAAGCACCAGAAAGTTAAAATAGGGAACAATGGTGTTAGATGCAGTCTTGTTTGGCATCTTTACTGATCTGGACAAGTGATGGGATTCATATACAATACTAAATTGTGAAGACTGTGCACATCAGCAAGAACAGAAAACCACCACATCACGACCTAAAAAGACGTGAACAATGACAAAAATGAGATCTGACTTGGAAGATGGCAGTTAATACTCATAACGGAAAAATAATCAGAAAAGCAGATACTGAATGGGAAGTAGAAACTTAGGAAGCAAATTAGATAGGAGTTGGCGGTGTGCTATAGCTGGGGGAAGAGAAGAGAAAAAGCCAGTGAAGTTTTGAGCTGCATACACAAAAGCATGCCATCAAGGACCAGTCCCTCTCTGAACAGATGCTCTAGTAGGACTCCCTGGAATAGGTATTAATTCCATCTAAGCATTTATCTCAGATGTATTTCCCCAGCCCAAAACAATGAGGCCTTAATTAGCTTGTAAAAGTTCTTTAGTGCAGAACTATATTCTACTGCATATTTGTGCTCAACACAAATGGATTCTGATCTTGACTAGGACCTCTATGTGGTACCATAATATGAACACTACTAATTCCAAATATAATAAGCATGGGACAGAGTCTCAACTTTAACATCGTACTGAAGATTTTTGCATATTAAATTTATTAAACATATACACAACTACAAGGCTGGGATGGGTTCAGCATCTCACTGGTAGATTTTACAAAAACCTGCTAAAGAAAATGACACTGGAAATCAAGTGCCTTGCTTATATCTCATTTACTAACTATTGTGCTTAAGGACTGGTAATCAGCCTGAACTTACCTTAATTATGTCACTTGAGGACATGGTAAAGATGTAGAGTTGATTTTTACTTGTGCTAATGAGTAGCGTTTCCTCTGACGGGCTAAAACACATGCACGTAACATCCTGCTTATCTGACTGATTTGGGTCACTGCTGCGCTGATCCTGGGGAATCTATGAAAAATCAGTCCCATTACTATTTCAAATCTCAGTATTCCGCATAGCACCCACACTTGCAGTGTAATTCTGCTTTGGTAGGGATATGCTTAGAAATCAACAGATGCCAAGGAAGTAAATACCTTACCTACACAAAGACAGCAATACAGATAAGGTAACCCAGCTGGAATTTTCCATCTTTAATGGCTATAATTAGAGCCTTGCAAATCCATGGATATCTGCAGGTATCTGCATCCGTGGATGTGGATAGCCGCAGCTCATTTTTGCGGATATGGATGCGGATGCAAATTTTGTATCTAGAACCCTGCAAATCTGTGAGATCTGCTTTATATCCACTGGTATCTGCATCTGTGGATGTCAGTGCGTATATCTGCAGCTCATTTTTTGCATATTCAGATGCAAATGTGGACACAAATTCTATATCTGCACAGGACTCTAGCTATAATTTAGGAACATATTTTCAACATTTGTCTTACCATATGTGTTACGTATCAAAATGGCAACAAAAGAACACTAAACAAAGTCAAGCACTCAGGTGATGAAGTGGCAGAATTATGGTTGGTCCATGAAAGAACAATTCCATACCATTCAGTACTCGTGGTCCTTTGAGATGTATTTTCCACATCTTAGTGATCATGTACCCAGTCGTTTTCAGCAGTGGGTCCATGGTCCCTTGGGGAGCCACCAAGCAGGACCTGCATTAGACTTGATGTGGCCCAGAACAGAAAGCCAAGCCCCACTGCACGGGGCCGAAGCCAGAACCCTGGGCCATATCACCTGGAGCTAAAGCAGAAGCCCAAGAAATTTAGCTTTGTAGTGCCCGCCTGCAGCATGCAGCCCTAGATAATTGCCCTGCTTGCTACCCTTTAATGCTAGCCCTGGTTTTTGTGGTACAGGTGAGACATGGAGTTTTTGTAATATGTTGGGGAGGTCTCAGAAAGCCAAAGATTGAGAACCCCTGTTGTGCACCTTATGCATAGATCCTTTTGGCCAGCAGTGATCATAGGGGCTGCACCTGTACCCTAGTTCTCCCATACCCAAAGTTATTAAGGGTAGGGTGGGCACAACCAGATCCATCATCACTACAAAAGCGGCGAGGAGTCCTGTGGCACCTTATAGACTAACTGAAGTGTAGGAGCATAAGCTTTCGTGGGCAAAGACCCACTTCGTCAGATGCATCTAACAAAGTGGGTCTTTGCCCACAAAAGCTTATGCTCCAACACTTCTGTTAGTCTATAAGGTGCCACATGACTCCTTGCCATTTTTGCAGATTCAAACTAACACGGCTACCCCTCTGATAATCATCACTACAGATGACCAAGGTTAAGGCTCTGTGGTAGGGAGAAGGAAGTCTGCCATTTCTTCTTTGTCTTCTATTGTCCACATAGATTTCACTTTTGGTGACTTTTAAGCCGTCATCAGTTTGCTTGAAGGTAGTATGACTCTGGTAGCCAGGTGCCAGCTCTTTCAAGACTGCAGGAATTAGTTAAGAATTGACAGACTGCTAGTTGGAAACCAGACCAGTTCACCTATATGTTAGTTTTGCTCAAAATAGATACTAGTGTTATAAGAATATAAAGTTGAGATGGACTCTGACCAAAAGGGTATAAAAAAGTGCAGTGGAAGGCAAATACATAAGCCTCAGTACGAACAGGTCCCTGTTCCCTGGTGTAGCCAGACAGTACCCCCTCCCCTCCCTCCAGTCACATCCATCTTATTTGCTTCTCTGAGGTTCCTGAAGCATACAGGGCAGAGAAGGAGCAATAAAATCAGGATATGCGGGCTCCTCTGACCCTGAGTAAGCTGAAAACATAGATATGAGGAGAACAATTAAGCAATAAGCTGACCTCCAGGCTGCAAGAACTGCCCTGGCTGGCACCTATGTTGATACGATCACACACAGTTGTCCCTGGGAGAGGAATCTCCCACTGAGAAAAGAATGCCCAGTACTTCCAATTTAGTTATCTCTCTTACAAGTGTAAATTAAGTTCACAACTCCCTTGTAAGAACTGGTGTCACAAAAGACAGACCAGCACCATTTGGCATCACAGATAAGAAAGAGAAATACATGACCCCATGGGTATAAAGATGGGTCCACCAGCACACTCACTTTGAGTGTCAATCTACTATCTATCTGCTGGTCGGGTTAGGTGATTGACCTCCCGAGGTTCCACAGGGACACCCACCTCGTATTCGTCTTTCCGAGGAATTGAGGGACCGATCCTGGCCTGACACGCTGGGACCGAGCGACGCAGAAGGGGGTAAAAATTGTACCTGGATATGGTCCTTTGTCTTAAGTGTACACATAGACTTAGAGCTCTTTAAAGATTAAGCTGTTACTTGGTACCATTATATCTATTTTTCTATCTTTATCTTCTTTGTAACCATTTTTAAGATCTATATTTGCTAGCAGTTAAGAAATAGAGCAATAGCCATTGTAACCATATGATTTATAAGCTTCTTTAATAAACCAGTAACTGTTTAAGCTTTAACCTGACTTCTTCAGTTGCTGTAATAGAACCAAGCACAATTTAAAAGAACTTCAGCTGGTCATAAGGGACAGGTATAGGAAGAGCTTGGGCGTTTTGGATCGTGTCACTCCCAGGTGACAGATCCGTTGGAGCATCTCTCAGTCTTCCCTAGATTGCCCGCTGAGAAGGAATCCTGTATCCTAGCAGCTGAAATCTGAGATGTAATAAGTTCTCCCTATAAACTCGGGGCGTCTGTCAGCCTGTTGGCTGCCCTCCGCGATGGGACCCCGGTCCTAGCGGCAAAGACACAGACATTAACCCTTTTCTCGGTCGGTCACACACACACACACTGCCCTGACCGTCGGCTGACACCTGGGGAATCAAAAAAAGGCTACTTTGGGCTAATCAAAGCACCTGACATCAATTAAACTGCAAAAGGATCAGTTAATACCAAGGGCAGTTGGTGCAACTGGGGCTGGAGGAGGCAGGCCCCAGCCCTGCCCACAGGCCCACCCCCCA